ACAGAGAGTTCTTAATTTCTATACAGAGCCAATCCATACGTTTGGAAGTGAATCACGAATAATCAGTGGACTGTTGAAGAATTAAGTGTTGATCTTTGCAGAAATATTATAGAAAATATGTCAGCTAATAATCTAGGTAGAAAATATTATATTTATATGTAGAGAATACGATATTTGCAATAAATATGTCAACAGAACAAGACGCTGAAACGAGTCTTTGACTTACTCTATATAAAACATGCATGAACACTCAGCGTGGGCATTTCTATCTAAAGTCTGGTTTCTTCACAATAAATATGTATATAAAGATACTGTATAGCCTTAGTCAATGTGATTATATTTATTATGGTGGTGAAAGTGGTGATGGTGATAAAGGGAGAGCATAAAATAATGAAGACAGAAATATGGTGGCGCTGGGCTTGGGGATCACGGGCATGGGTGATCTAGAACGTAGATGAGAAGGATTATGTAACGTCCGGAAGGATCTAGAGGAGTTGGTCTCGTTTCAGGTTCCAAGAAAAGTGTATCCGTCGTACGGAAGGATGAATTCAAAGTTGATGTTTGAATCTGGTTTGGCTGCAAGTTCTTATGCCCAACCTGTCTATTTTTCGTATGGCCATTCTGGTTCAGACTTGACACGTTGTTCTAATTCAGCTTAAAGGATTGTGATTGTTATTTTTTCGCCGTCAGATTAATTATATTTTATTCAGCCTAAAGACAAGGCTTTTGAACTGTGTTTTTGCTATCTGTTGTTTTGCAATCCCTGGACTGTGTCCGCAGGTTGCACTGGTTGGAGGCGATTGAGTAACTGAATAAACATTGACATTTTTATCAGCCGTTTGTTTGCAGTGTTGGTGTTTCGTCATGTTGCAATGTGCGTTGATGTGCACCTGTGAAGTTTGCATATGACTGGAGTCAAGTTAGGGGTGTAGAGAGACATTGCACTTGTGAAACAAAATTATAGATTTACATGTAAAAAAAAAATACAGTAGAAAATTAGGCAGTAAAAGAGGGTTCTTAAGAGTTATATAGAGTAAATTATGATGAACGAAAGTGAATAATGGACAATCAGCTGATTAGGTAATATTTTACTCAAACTGTGAACATATGCTTTTTTCGTATTTTTGTAAAAAACATAAGATCATCCTGGACAGATGGAAGGCATTATGAAGATATCATAAAACATCTCAGTCAGAAACAGAACTAGAATTTTCTATCAGGAAAAAAAAAAAAATCCCCGTTTTTAGACATATGACCAGAAGAAAAATCCTGGAGAATATCGTAATTTATTGGAAATTTAAAGGCCGATAAAACAAAAATGCGATTAAAATTTTTGGTGGCTGACAGTTCAATATCATTTTATGGCGCAACATCTGAACCAGAAACGACTCACAGTAAACGAGACTAAAGGCTGCAAGCAGACGTGAATACCAGACGCTACATGACATGGGCTACAGAAAGAATTGCTGCAAACATAACTGATGCTTACATTTGCAAGGGAGACCAGCATTATTTAATTAATTAATTAATTTAATGGCTTGTATAAGCGTGAGCAGATTATTTGAAATACTTATTTTGAATGTCGAAAAGCCTTTTTTTTTTTTTTTTTTGTAGATTTTAAATCAGCTATTAATAAACAAGACATTAAATTCTTTCTTGCGTGTCAGATATCATTTTCTGTAATTTTAATTGATAGAAACTATCCCAGAAGAAGATTAATGGCCAGGGTATGTTTAGGCTATGATTATATTTTCTAACATGCGTCTCCAGTTATAAAAAAAAATATAATTACTTATATAGTTTCGTCCTTTTTACGACGAAATTTTTTGTCATTTGAAACCCCACCCTGGTTTTGCCGAGGGCCGCAATATAGGCAGGCCATTAATATGGCAAAATGTCTGAACGCTGTTTCTGGGACCTCTCCACGGCAATCCTCATCCACATGGTGGCACGTTGTGTCATCGGGTGTTTATCGTTTGTGTGATGTCATGGTGGGGTAGAAAGTCAGCCAGTCAGTTTCTAACATGCCTTCTATGACGACTAATATAACAGAAACATTTTTCATTAGCACACATGTGTGTGCCTCAGAGTAATATATAATATGGATGATATCAAGGGCGAGTGGTTTTACTGTGCTCTCTTTTTATTTGGGGGGGGGGGGGGGGGTGGGCATAACGTTGTGCAGCAAACCATATTTGGTTCTAAGCTTCATCCCACTACACTTAAACATGTTTGGTTTTAATCTTAACGACACTACGTTCAGAATTAAAAAATTTTAAGTTTAGAATAGGTTTTAATATCCTTTGGCCCACATACATTTCCTAATGTGGTTAATGATCTTCTTGCCTTTTCTATTTCGTATTTTAATATATTTCTCACTTCCCCCATCTGTTTCTACATTACTATCCAAATAGGTGTACGACTCCACATCTTGGAGTGGGATACCATTAAAAGAAATTACATTACTATTTTCCTGATTTACCCTCATTATCTTTTTTTTTTTTTATGAATTTTCAGAACTAGCTGTTTTGACCTCGCATCAAGTGTATTTAATTTATCTTGCATCTGATTCCACGAGTTGGATAGGAAAAAAATATGTCATCTGCGAAGTCCAGGTCATTAGGTTGTTTTGTTGGGTCTCAATGAATTTCAAATGCAGTGAAAAAATATATCTACTGTTCCCCCCCCCCCCCCCCCCACCCCCACAAACATGTCGTATGAGAAGACTAATTAGTTATGGTATATCTGTCTGAGAGACAGTGATAAAAAAATGCTACATCTGTAAATCGGATGTGCACGCAAAACTCACGTTTTGGATCAAAATCAAAATACATAAGTGGACGAACAACCAGAACTGCTCGCCCGAGCTCACATCTAGCGAACTGTAAGAAGAAGACAATTAACAAAACTGCAGCTTATAAAAATTCAGCCCTGCACCTGATGATGATGACGAGTCACTTTCTGTACCTGAATAATGAGGGAGATTTCAGCAAAGTACTGTTGGAAGAGGGGGCAGCGAGAGCCTGCATTCTCTCAAGCTGGGTTGGATTTCTTCTGTTTCAAACCCGGATCCAGGAGAATTTCACAATTTAATCTATGCTCACAGGTCAACACAGCCTGAAATTATTACTAGGAAATGTTCTAAGAAGTCAAGGCAGCCGAATCACCACTAAAGTGCTGATATGTCTATAAGAAATATGGGTCCAGCACCATGTGACTAACACACAAGTGGCTTGCAGGGGGCGGTAACTCTGGTGTAATTTGTTTAAACAAAGTCTCCATATGTGTCATCTCTTCTACATCCTCATCACCCCCGACTGACCCCTTCACATCGCGTGATCTCTAACAGGTGTATCACTATTCGCCAACCGATAAGTGATCACCGGTCGCTTTTACTTCCCATTTATCAACATCGGCGCTTTGATCACACGACGCTAGAGCCATATGTTTTACAGACCCCACTGAAACTTAATGGATATGCCTTCAATTGCATCTGGTCGTCTTTAAATCCATCGAATGTTCCATGTACCCCTTCTTCACGACTGGCGACCTGTGTCACTTACGAACATCCACACTCACGATTACATCAACAGCAACAACAATTATTAAATAAAAAAGTTACCAAAGATAACAAATATTCATATGGTCAAAATCTTCCAGGAACTTTCGCCCTGTGCCCAGCAGGGTCTAAATATAGGTATACAGAATAAATCTGTATGTTTCGTGAGCAATTTGTATAAATAGTTTGAATCAAAGTGGTGTAGAAAAATATAGTTCCGATTTACGTTTGACTTACGACTCTTTAGTCGGAACGTAATTCAATGGACTATTTAATTAGCAACCAACTCTGATGCTGATGCGAACTGAAGAACTTCGAACCTAAGGGCAGGCCTCTAAACTATGTTCTACAGTGGTCCTGTTTAAAAGAATCATTCTCTACAATCAATATTCTAGGGTTTGCTGATGATGTTGGTCCTCTTGTAACATGGGAAATATCACCGGGTTGACCAATGTTGTATTCACTCTGCTTGTTGTGTATGTTTGCAATATGAAACATGACAGACAGGCACCTGGAAGATTGGTCACGAAATTTATTCATCAATAAATTTCTTTCCTGTTGTTTTCCCCAATCTCTGTACACATTTGATTCAGCCAGGCTTCTTTAGCCACTTTGTTCACTATTTCTTTTTGCATTCTAGAGTATTCTTCTTTATCATTCTTTTTCTTCCTTCTTTCATCCATCAACTGCAGAATTTCGGTTGACATCCATTTCTTTTTTTTTTTTTTTTTGCAACCCTATGGGTTGGTGGGATTGTCTCTTTAGATGTCTGCTGAATTTTGTATGTCTATGTACATGTAATTTATGTCTTTCTCTCTTTATTTTCTGGTTTACATTTTTTATTTGTCTACCTCTAGTTCTGTTTTATACTTGTTTCTTCTTTGTCACTTTTTACTTTTCTATTTATTTTTCCCCCTTTCTTTTTTTTTCTTTTAACCCTTCTTTTTTTTCTAGAGCAATCTTACTGTATGTTACGTGTACTCAGATTGTAGTTATATATAATTTCTTGCTGATTGTTGGTGTATGACACGTGTCACATTCAACCGCTCCTTCTCCGCTAATCGGGTGCCTTGACATCGGCGAGCCAGACATCAAAGATGTGTCCAGGTAAGATCCCCAGCTGGACACAAGCGTCCGATGATTGCATTGTTCCAGGCAAGACGATGACCACACTCCGAGGCCGATTGTTGACACAAGAATACCAATATAGATGGCGGTATACTTTCATCTACGTGTCATAATGATTTGCTGGTTTGTATGGTCAGCTTCCAGGACGTTTCTAGAAGGAGTGTCCAAGTCCAAGGATGGTCAGTGTGTGATAACTTTTACCAGATGCTTCAGTTTTTAACAGCAGTTGTGTCGAACGGTCGTGTTCTTCTATACTAGCGTGAACTATATTTCATTCTCGGATTTCGTGTTTTCCAGCAAGTATTATTTCAGCATGGCTCAGTCCATTCTCAAAAGTCCCAAGGTGTTAGATTTCTGCATTGATTTCTTTATTTCATCACGACTAATTCCCGAGGCAATCCTCGATACGAAAATAAATGGAGATATTGTGTTAGCCTCTCTCCGCGATCAGCCCAACTGGAAATTTATCGTGAAAACATTCACCTTGATCAGACAGGATAGACTTGAAAGAAACTTAGATGTCTTCTATCGTGAGGTCCAGTTCATGCAGTCACTGGACCATCCATATCTGGCAAAGTGCATATATGCGGCTACATGTCCGATATATTTATCCATATGTATGAAGTATTACACTAGAGGCACTCTAGCGCGCTGTCTTGGCCCCATGGGGGTGGACATGTCGGAACTATGTGTCATCCAAGTGGCGTGTGCACTTCGCTATCTACACAAGAACAACCTGGTTCACTTCGATGTAAAACTGGACAATATATTCCTAGATGAAGAATATAACGCTATCCTTGGAGACTTCGGCCTTGCAGTGGAGATGGAACCTCATGAAAAGACACTGGCCAGACGTTACATAGGAGGTACGACTGGATACTTGGCGCCGGAATGCGTAGCAGCGTCGCCTGATGTACAGCTGGATCCCTACAAAGTAAGTGTTACAATTTACATTATTTTAATGTTTCCATGCACTAATTTGCTTCGCCTCCATTTTCTTAATCTACAGTCTGTTGTAATTATCTTTACTGTAGTAAGCTAGTGGGAAATTTGTTTAGCTTATGTTCCACGACCGATATACTGTGTTGCGAACAGATTATCTTTGTGTCTGTATCTCAACAATAGCCTCCTCGGCCACTACAATCTTGTTTTGTTTTGTTTTTTATGTCTTTTCCCCCTATATCTTATTTTTCTGCAGCCTTCACATCTATGACTAAACATAACGTCTTCGGTTCGAAAGGATTCGAATCACATTTTGTTCAGTTTTAGTTTATTTCATATCGTGTGGGTTCTGTCACTTCTACGTATTTGATTTCTGCCAGTTAATGCTGTCTAATGTGTATGAATGATTTGTGTGTTTTAAAACGAAAAATATATTCCACCAAGCATTGGGACAGCTAACTCTCTTTTTACAGCAAAAGACAATCTCAATCAGGTTAAAGAAACATCTCAAAAAAAAACGTATTGGTGCCCACCCTAAGTTCCCAGCACTAGACATTGTCACAACAAACTAGGACACAAAAATTAATGATTACACCACAGCGGATATTATTAATGTATATTAAAATTAATTGTCTATTCATAAAATATGTTTTAACAAGATAAGCCGATCGCTGTTACCAGTGAGTTTATGTTATCTTCTTCTTCTTATTTTTCTTCTTTTTGTCACCTTCCTCCTCTTAGCCCCCACCCCCGTCTCTTCTCTTCTCCTCTCATCACTCCTCCTTCTTCTAAACATGAAAAGACAATATCAAATTATCAAATAAATGCTAAAATATCACAAATAAGATCGGTGGACTTTGGATGTGTTGGACATCACTGTCAGGTGCTAGATGAAGGTAGAAAGGGAGGGAATGACATGGGCGTATTACATTGGAAGACAAGAGAACAAGAAAGAGACGATATAGTCAACAAACTTACACATGAGAAGGTTGAATAGTTCTTGCAACAGCCGAGATTGGCATGATATTTAAGAAATGATATGGATAAAAAGTTGAGGATGTCTAACATAAACTAAAATCGCCAGAACATGTATGCACTTTTAGAGGCAGACAAGGAAGATAATTATGTTAGACTGTCTACTATTTAGTGTAGGCATAGTAGTTGCTTATGTGCTTGCTTATTGAAACTCCGGCCGTGTAAAAAAAAATTTTAAAAATAATAATAATGTTCTTTATAATCACAACTCATCTTCATAATATGAATTCAACATTTTGTTGAAAACTGGTCTGGGAAGGAAAGGCAGCACGGGAAGGAGCTGGTCTTCTCAATTTGAACTCGCACACGAATATATAAAGGCCAGACAACACACATCTCAGTGCCGCAATCTAACAGAATGTACAATCTAGAAGATATAATGACGTCGTTTACTGACCCATCAATTTAAAGGTCAGGAAATCAGTCTTTCAGATGGGCTTTCTGTCTACCAGAAATTCTCTAGGGTCCACCCATCAATGTGGAATACTTGTCTGTTTTATAGGGTCCACTCATCAATGTAAAATACTTGTCTGTTTTCTAGGGTCGACCCATCAATGTAAAATAATTGTCTGTTTTCTAGGGTCGACCCATCAATGTAAAATACTTGTCTGTTTTCTAGTGTCGACCCATCAATGTAAAATAATTGTCTGTTTTCTAGGGTCGACCAATCAATGTAAAATACTTGTCTGTTTTCTAGGGTGGACTCATCTATGTAAATATGTTTAGATGGAGTCATCATATTTCATAATCTCAAAATCCGATATTAGTAACTACATAGCTCACCTAACAGTTACAATGTCTCTGCGAGGCTTTAATCGAATGCTTTGAGAAAACTGCTCAAAGAGAATAACAACATTATATCACCATGTGAGCATAACTTTGATTCATTTATTACATAACGCACATGCACTAAAATATTGTCACAGTAATCTCCTAGCGCTGAGAGTAACTTGGTATGGCAATGTCTTATTTCCAGATCGACTCCTACAGTCTTGGAGTTGTGCTCTGGTGCATGGTATTTGAACGCGAGGCTGATGAGAAAATCGACTACTTTTTAGTGTAGGCATAGTAGTTGCTTATGTGCTTGCTTATTGAAACTCCGGCCGTGTAAAAAAAATTTTAAAAATAATAATAATGTTCTTTATAATCACAACTCATCTTCATAATATGAATTCAACATTTTGTTGAAAACTGGTCTGGGAAGGAAAGGCAGCACGGGAAGGAGCTGGTCTTCTCAATTTGAACTCGCACACGAATATATAAAGGCCAGACAACACACACCTCAGTGCCGCAATCTAACAGAATGTACAATCTAGAAGATATAATGACGTCGTTTACTGACCCATCAATTTAAAGGTCAGGAAATCAGTCTTTCAGATGGGCTTTCTGTCTACCAGAAATTCTCTAGGGTCCACCCATCAATGTGGAATACTTGTCTGTTTTATAGGGTCCACTTATCAATGTAAAATACTTGTCTGTTTTCTAGGGTCGACCCATCAATGTAAAATAATTGTCTGTTTTCTAGGGTCGACCCATCAATGTAAAATACTTGTCTGTTTTCTAGTGTCGACCCATCAATGTAAAATAATTGTCTGTTTTCTAGGGTCGACCAATCAATTTAAAATACTTGATTGTTTTCTAGGTTGGACTCATCTATGTAAATATGTTTAGATGAAGTCATCATATTTCATAATCTCAAAATCCGATATTAGTAACTACATAGCTCACCTAACAGTTACAATGTCTCTGCGAGGCTTTGATCGAATGCTTTGAGAAAACTGCTCAAAGAGAATAACAACATTATATCAGCATGTGAGCATAACTTTGATTCATTTATTACATAACGCACATGCACTAAAATATTGTCACAGTAATCTCCTAGCGCTGAGAGTAACTTGGTATGGCAATGTCTTATTTCCAGATCGACTCCTACAGTCTTGGAGTTGTGCTCTGGTGCATGGTATTTGAACGCGAGGCTGATGAGAAAATCGACTACTATTTCGAGACCAGGAAACAACGAGATCTGCTGCCAAATATCAGGTATGTTCGATTACTTTCAAAGTCATTATTATTATCATCACCATTTATTGCTTTGCTCTTTACTCTATTTAATTCGTGATATTTAATTTGTTTAACTTATCCAGTCTTGGACTCTCACTCAGTCACTGAGGAAAAAGATTGGAGCTTTTGAATTGAAATGTTATAGAACAACTCTTAGAATACCATGGATCAGGAAGAGAAAAAAACATCGACATTCTGAACGAGTTGAACATCAAGGAGAACTGGCTCATAAACAGCATCCTGTCCCGAAAGTTGAAGCATTTTAGGTGGTCTTTAGAATATAGGTCTACCCCTGTGTGCCATTTATGTCTGAAGGTGTGGGAAACTGGTAGAGATGGGGGGAGGGGGGTCATTCTAGAAGAGGAAATAAGGAAAGACGAAACAGTAATGTTGACTACATCTTCCACTAGGCATCAAATGATTTAAACGTGTAGCACCATGTACCCGAATTGCCTTATGCATGAAAGTGTTTCTTGTGTTTACTTCGCTGTACATTGACTTACTTGATATATAACACACACACACACACACACACACACACACACACACACACAAAACGTCGTGTAGTTTACTGGAGTCGTTTACATTAATTTATCTCACTTCACTCTACACATTACTTTATTCTGTTTTACCTATCCTATACTCATGTATGTATGTATGTATGTATGTATGTATGTATGTATGTATGTATGTATGTATGTATGTATGTATGTATGTATGTATGTATGTATGTATGTATGTATGTATGTATGTATGTATGTATGTATGTATGTATGTATGTATGTATGTATGTATGTATGTATGTATGTATGTATGTATGTATGTATGTATGTATGTATGTATGTATGTATGTATGTATGTATGTATGTATATATGTATGTATGTATGTATCTATGTATCTATGTATCTATGTATGTATGTATGTATCTATGTATGTATGTTGTACCACATCAGTACTTCACACAAGCAATAAACACTTGGTGACACAAAGTGCCACCATGCGGATGAGGAACACCCGTGAAGAGGCCCGGAAACCCCGTTCAGTCGTTAGGCCATATTTCAGGCTCAGCTATATTTTAAGGCCCCTGCAAAATCTAGGTTGGGGCTTCAAAATAACTAAAAATTGCATTCCACAATGGGGTGACGAGAAGGCACAAATCATATACTCACAGTGCGAAAAATAAATTCCATGAATAAAGTCCTCATCAATTAATCATTAGAAAATCGTGTTGTTAATCCTTGGGTTTGTGTTTCTATGTTTTTGTATGGCGTTCCATGTTTTGTTCATCACTCTTTAGATATTCAAGAATGCTGTTCTGTTACCGAATACTAGTTCATGTTTCTGGTCTCTATTCCTTACAGGGACATGTTGCTGAGACTTCTACAGCCGGACCCAGCAAAAAGAGTCACAGCTGAAGATTTCCTTCGCAGGGTGCGCCGGGACAGTGTCTACAGATCGGTTATAGACAGCAACTAGGATTTGAAGCATTTCCGGATATTACGTAGACAGCTGCTGTGATTTCGAGAGCGTGTGGGCATAAAATAGACATCAAATAGGATTTTTAAAACTTCTAGATAGTTTATAGACATCGTTTAGGATTTTCGATTTTAAATAACGCAGAGACAGCATTTAGAATTGTCCATATTCACAAACATAAAAATTGATTTTAGATTCAGTATTTTTAGATACCGGCAAAGAATTAGAATTCTGTATTTATTAATTTCTTGAAATTTTAAATGTAAACAGATTATCTGATGGAGAAAGATAATTCAAGTTTCAAGATGGAACAAACAGGTTACGTCTTTAATGATTCAGTGCTGTCAGCAAAGCTAAACATTTATACAGTGAAGTGCCAAACTTGAACAGTCTTTGAAGTTTCAATACTGAGAAGAGTGGCCACCTGGTAGATTACAACTGAATCTTTGTTTCTGAAGGATTTGATATGATGTCCTATAGATTACCTCTATATCTTTTTTTTTTTTAATGGAGGACTTAAATTGAGGTACAGTAGATTGCCTCTGCATCTTTTTTTGTTGTTGTTGTTGAAGGATTTGATCTGGTGTCCTAAAAATTAAATTTATATCTTTGTTTCTGGAGTACTTGATGCCCTATACACCACCACTGTATTGTTGTTTCTGAAGGACTTGATTGCATGTTCTATAGATTACCCAAGAAGCTGAAAAAATAGCTCCTGTTGTCTCAGAATGTATAAAATTTGTGAACACTGTGACGGAGAAACGTGTGTGAAAAAATCTGGATCATTCTCTATATGAACGTGTATGGACAGTACCCAGTTTTCTTGGGGTGGGGTGTGTTCAGTAAATGTGTGGCTTCCGGTGGTTTTGTTATGTATGACTTTCTTTTTAATGTTTAAAACTCTTTAATTTAAAGTATTATATTCACAAAGTCTATGTCTGTGGGTTAGGCGTTACGAATGCGATTTGTAATGCCGGGATGCTGGGTTCGATCCCAGCTGCGGGCATTGCGTCTTGCGTTGATTTCGACAGAGGTATCAAGAAGCCGACCGTCCAGAGCAATGCCAAACTACTGGACGTAAACTTGCCTAGGAAAACCACAACAGACAAAAAAGGCTGGGGTTGGTTCTGCAACGTACTGTAACGGATACGCAGCTAACTTTTTACCCTCATATGCCAGCAAAAGAGTCAGGTAATCTTGAAGTAAACTTATAGGAAAATTGTTTGCCTTCTGATATACTATATTGTGCAAATATTTGACGATTGTTACAGTTCAGTTCTCTTGCTCTCTCAGTATTATTTTAGGAACGTATCTTGTCTCCATGTCAGAGGCTGTCCAGGGGCTATTTGCCACAAGTATTGTTGGCCCAGTTCTCGCAAGAGGTAGCTCTTTATCGAACCCGTTGTCTGGAGTCGACCCGCTCAACCTTTGAGTCACAAACAGGCTCACTTACTATTGTGGCTAACTCAAGTTAGCACCATATGCCATTACGGCGGCAGCCAGAGCAATAACCAATATATGTGCTCTTGTATTCCTAATATGGAGTTTACTTATTTTTCTAATGTACATAAATATTGACTATAATAAACTTACAACTCAGTTACAATGAATTTATCACGTCTTTAGATTTGTGTCTGTTATGAAACCATGTTTTACATGTTATCTGTATTTACAACAACGACAACAACAACAAAAGGAAACCACCTTTCTTTTCTGTACTTTACTAGTGGATTGTCATTAATTTTCTTATTCTTTTCCCTCTTCTTATTATTATAATTTTCTGCATCATTTTCTTCTTTTTCGTTCCCTTCTTCTTCTTGTTATCTTCTTCTTTATCATCTTCTTTTTTTTTTCTTCCTCTGCTTCTTCTTCTTCTTTTGCTTCTTCTTCTTCTTCTCTTCTTCTCCTCCTCCTTCTGCTTCTTTACCTTCTTCTTGTTCTTTTTTTTTTTTTCATATTCTACTTCTTCCGCCTTCTCCTTCCCATCCTCCATATCATTTTCTCTCTTTATTTTTCACTAATACCAACCCTTCTTCTTTCTCCTGCTCTTTCACAATTACCACTTCTTCCACCTCGATCTCTATTTTCTTATTCTTCTTCGTCCTCCTGTTCGTTTTCGGTATCCTTTCTTTATCTACCAGCAAATCATGTGGCCTCATAATACTGAAACATATCAACTGGTGTCTTATTAGTACGAATTTTTGGCCTATAGTTATCACTCAAAGGGTAATAAACGTCTTCAGGAAATGACATATATTGTGAGGCAGCATATTGATGTGGACCAGGGACCTTTCACAATTACTAGGAATAAATTTACGACTTTGGAATTCATCATTATCAGGTGCCTTGCCGACTGGCATGGGCGATCATGCCTCTCTACAATCCGCGATCCCCTGCAACATGTATCAGATCGTGTGCGGACACACCTCCATGCTATGCAAAAAGACTGTCAAGTATCTTCTATCTTTGTCTTCCTCTATCCCTCCTTCCACAGATCTTTCCAGTGGTGACAACATGTTCTTTTTTTCCCCTCTTCTCATAACATGGCCGAAAAATGATGACTGTCTCCTTCTGATGTCTGTGATCAGTTGTCTTTGGGCTTCCGCCTTTGTCAAAACCTCTTGGTTGCTCTTTTTGGCTGTCCAAGGTATTTTAAGCATTCTTTTTTAAACCACATGTCTAATTCCTCAAAAAATTGTTTGGCCTGCCTACCGATTGTCCAGGATTAACAGCCAAATGTTAAAACTGGATGTATGTAGCAAGCTAGAATTCTTTTTCTGACCTTCAATGACAGAGACATTTTATAAAATGCAATTTTTGTCTGTCCTGTTTCTTATTTCAGTAATGCATCTTCCATCTGATGTTATCCATGTGCCCAGGTACTTAAATTTGTGTACTTGCGCCACAATTACACCATCAACTTTTATTACACATTTAGGAATAATTCTTTTCTTTGATACCGCCATTGCTTCTGAATTCTCATTTTTCAAACTGAGGCACATTCTTCCACTTTCTACCAAAACAATGTCTATCGTTTCCTGAAGTTTTTTCTGACTTGTTACTATCAAGACTGTGTCATCAGCATAATGTCTTCTTCTGCCTTTCTATCCTCCAATGGAGCATAGGCCCTCAACCAACTCACGCCAAGTCGTTCTATCCTTCACCATTGCATGGAGCTCTCCCCATGTCCTCCCCATCTTTCTAACCTCATTTTCCAGCTCTCTTCTCCGTGTGTTTTTTGGCCTTCCTTTATTCCTATGCCCTGTGGGTTCCAATGCAAAGACTTTCTAGTTATGCTGTTTTCCTGTTTTCTCAGTGTGTGTCCTATCCAACGCCATCGTCTGTTCCTCACCTCTTGGTCCACTGGAGCCTGCTTAGTGCTCTCCCAAAGTTCTACATTAGTTATTCTATCATACTATTTAATTCCTTCTATTCTGCGCTGGCACCAGTTAATGAATGTCTGTAATTTCTTAGTAATTGCCTTGGTTGTTCTCCATGTTTCCTCCCCATACAAAAGTACTGATTTGACATTAGAATTAAAAACGTTTAGTTTAGTATTTCGTTTAATTTCTTTTGACCTCCACAAATTCCATAATCAGCATAATGTAAATTGTTTATATTGTGTCCAATAACTACAATTCCGGGCATAAAAATCAAAAAATTATATTGGAATCACAACAACTAAATAAATAAATAGGAATGATAACACCTTAACAATGTGGCACAAGTTATAGTCTTATCAGATCTCGCTGTTTCTCGTTACCGTAAAAACTCAGCATCTCATTTAGAATGAAACATTCACGGCTTTGGTCAGATTCAGTGAACAATGACAGACAATGAACTGTGTAATATATTGCCTGTACCCTCATTATTTAAATAGCAAAGTAAAAGTAAAGTAGAGGACATTTGCCCACGCTTTCGGACTTATTTGCAATAGCCTAGACTTATATTGTATAGACCGATCAGCACTTGGTGAGTGATGTGGTCAGCATCACACCTTTACTCATTAGATATTTACCTGGTACCATTTTATTTTTGGAAGTCCGGCTGAGTCAGGACCTGAACCTAGCACCTTATGATCCCGAGGGGAGCATCTAGCCGCTACACCACGGCTGCTAAAATTAAATAATAAATACTGTAGAAATTTAAAATTTATTGGATCAAAAATAAAACACGTACCTATAACCCTAAAGATCTGAACATCGAAGTCAACTGGCTCACAAACAGCATCCTGTCTATGAAACAAATATTTTAGCAACATTTAATGTCTCAGTGGCATATTAAACGGACAAACAGAAGAAGTAAAAGTAAAAAAAAAGTAAAGATCCTTTTTCACGCCTTTCGGCGCAGTGGGCATATGGGCAGAGCGTCCCATATTTTTACAGACCATCAGCACTGTGGGTAATGTTTTCAGCATTACGCCGGCTGTCTTTACTTTCCCAGGACAGCCCATCCTGGTACCCATTTTAGGCTGGGTCGACCTGCGACGTCCCATACCACGACAAAAATCCACGCAGCCTGCAGTGGGTTTCGATCGCGGTATGCTGGCTTACGAGTCGGACTCGTAACGCCTTAGCCACGGACGCCAAACAGAAGAAGAGCCGAGGCTGGCCATGCGGAGATGTACACAGGACACTTTCCAATGAACAACATGTTTATTTTTTATAGACTGTGGAGATTCTTCTGAAAATGGTTTTTTTAAAGAGGGGGGGGGGGGGGGGTAAGTTGTATAACATTGTTAACCTGGATATTTCGTAAAGAATGCACTTGCCCTGCGCCCTGAGAGCATCAGGCTCGCGAAGCCTCTGTCACACAGTCCTAAAATTTATCAATAAAGACTGGACAACTTACTTCTTTATATCGTGCCAGCTCCAAAAGTTTGTACAGTTTGTTTACTGCCACCATGTCAGGACAAAACTCTATCCACAACCGTCTCTAGTTGTCTCATCATGATTCTCAATTTACACACATTTCCATTTGTCCATCATTTCTGTTATCAT